AGGCACGTCATTTTCTTCTCTAGCGTTGCTTGAGCCCAACCTTTGCCTTTAAATCCACACATCATGCAAATCATAGTGAATCCTCACACCATTACACCTTCCTCCTCTCACTAAACGTTTATATGGAAATTTTTTTGACTCGGGTCTGGTGTGGCTAACCTTTCCAGTTCGTTGAGAGTATGTCAGTAGAGTGAATAAGCTCCAACCAAGATTGATAACATTATTGATAACATAAGATTTATTTGGCTTACTCCCAGTCCGCAAACATCGGCTACTGTAATCCATTATTAAAACGCTTGCATAATTGTTGCTGTTCGACTTTTCCACACTTTACTCTTCTCTTTCATTTTTTTTTGAAAAGTCTTCTGTCACAGATAGTCACTCTGATCCAGATCCATGATATGTCGTCGGTTAATCCTGCTCTGATTCTTCATGGCAAGAACTTGTATTAATCCAAAGCTCCTTGGTTCATGTACTCGTTCTGGGATAATTTGTTCTTTTTCTTCGCATCTTCTGCCTAGTTAAAAAGCTGAAGGACGTTACCATATGAAGATGAGAAAGTCATGAATCATGGTTCAGGCTCACGTATTGTGACAGTGGGATCATTAAGCTATAACCACAGTGCATCGCGAGCGATTCAGAGTTGACCATAGACAAGAATATATATTGATGCGTATTCCTTCAGAACAGAGCCACCGCAAAATGATTTCGTTAACGATATTACCACCACCTAGCTGAAAGGGAGTGATCGCGATAAATCCAACGGAGACGAATGGAAAAGTTACATTGTAGATTGGACAGGAGTCCTACCCAGTGATAGTTGACACTTCAGAGGCAGTGGGGCGGTTAGCAGCGGTGTGATTAAGGTGCCGAAACCAATATCCACCACCTAAATCTTGCACGTGTATGGGTCGCTACGGCTGCATGGAGTTTACGTATGAAGTTATTGTTCTTCGTACGACTTTTCATTCCGGTGTAAGTGTTGCCGTAATAATCGATGGTCTTCCTCTCGCGAACCTTACCATTTTGGGAAGATCCATCTCAACTCCTTGTCACGGTCTTCAATTGCTAAATGAGTGGCACGGTCTACTACTGGAGCCATAACGCCAATCGTTTTTTAAATGAGTCGCCGTTCTTTAGCAAAAAGGATGTGAGGCGAACGAGGAGGCAGGCAAGGGAGCCACGCAAATTGGCGAACCTTGTATTTTATTTCGTGATTTGCGATTATGGCGAGCCGAGGCACAAGAAGGGTGCCTCTGACGTTTCAACTCACACAGCCACGTAATCCAACGAAAATCATACACTGCTAATCACGTAATACGCAGAGGTAGTAGCAGACGGCAGATTGAAGTGAAATGCTCCTCCGAAATGAAAATTCTGCTGCTACCGGCTAAACTTGTGGGTGGAGTGGCATTGCTACTTTACGACTTGTAATAGGTTTGGGGCTATACTGCCATGCAACTCGCTCAGCGCTCGCCACAGAACGCTAGATCTTGCTTTTTACCTCGTGGCCACTGTTTCCAGTCGTGCATATGCTTCCCCGGTGTGCAACCACTTTATCACAATCACTGCCTTTAAGAGCTTTCTAAAAAGTAATAGCTAGTAACTTGTAATTCTTTAGGTAACTACACTGAGGCTGGCTCATTCTGAGATCGTTGCGGCCAGCGACAAAGTCAGTTATGCAGCTGTAGAAACTAGACTTTCGGAATGTTGAGAGCGAGCAGCATGCGGATAGGTCAGTTCATCGAGTTTTGTCGCGTGTATCGTTGTGTTTGTGTAGTTGTGTTTTGTGAGAGCTGAATGGAAAAAGCTTATAGGAAGTGCCTGAACATTCCGGTCATTGTATAAGCAGTTCGGAGTATTCACTCTTCTGTATACCTCGGTCTCTGGAGGTTATTCCTCCGTCAATTGCGCAAGCAGTTAGGGTATGTTCAAAGTAAAATGTCGCATGCGATGAGATCATGTTATGTAATCATTCCAACGCTTAACTCGTATTATTTCCTCCCAAAAACCAAGCCGTCCACATACTGATTCATACGGAAACTTTCTTCCGTACTAGTTGAGAATAGTCCCAAAATGTTCAGAAACGTTTTTTTTTTCTAATGCGAATTCGAATGTGTTCGTGGTTACCAGGTTCCATTTGAAAACCCGGAATGATCGTCGACTGGCTGAAAAGATCATACGAAGAGCTTTAGAAAGAGATCGAGTAAGTCGTACGCCATTGTAGATGTGTAGTGGACTGTGTGGTCGTCTTTATTAGCGGTCCTAGTCACTTTTGATGTAAAGTGGCATTGGAGGTAACGGGTCATGCGATCGCATCCAAATGCTCGTTTCTTACAGTTCTTGGTGTTACACCGGATGGTCAAGTGTTTCAGTATATATTGCACTGGGGCTGGGTGAAACTCTCGCCTTGCTTCCAAACCCGGAGTTCTCCCAGGGTATGAGGCATTTTCATGTATTTTGAGCGGATGAGTTTCTTCAACGTAGTTTTGGCATAGCCTATACTGGTATATTATCACAGGCAGTATGCGCTAGAACTCGTACGGAGTTCTTTCAGTTTGGCTTTCATGACAAATACAGGCTACAGAAGTACAATTCTTCCGTGTTTTCATGATTGGTTCCAAAAGTTTCGGCTACTCATCCAATGCTACTCATACTGCAATTAACCCTCATTCAGCTGAGGGAAGTGTTTCTTTAGAAGCCTGTCGTTTGACTAACCCCTTACCTGATCAGCTTCGCACACTACCAAGCCCGTTGCACGGTGCTCAGTGAGTTGGTCAACTTATGGGAAATGAGGTCCCACAAACAATGTATACTTCCCTTTATTCCTCCTTTCATCTTTTACAGTGTAGCCTACACGGGCGCATTTCAATGGTCTTTGCCAAAACATGCGCAAGTCCTCGGATTACCGTAGCATCTGCATCTGGCAGTTTGCAAACGTTACTCCGTGCCAGATGCCCCAACCTCCAGTTAGGGTTTCTCATCGTACCACTGTAATAGGAGCGGTCCAGAACCCCTGTGGATGCCAGCCGGTAGCTCAATCTACTCACTAATGAGCGACTGGCCTGTCTAGGTGTACAGCTCTTTGCCTCTGATATACACGTCTACAAGCTACGTAAGAAGTAGGGAGCTAGAATACGTCCAAACCAATCACCCTCACAATCAGATATCGAGTGCAAAGTTTATCAGAACGCTTCATGGCGTGCTGAAAATTACGGCTGCAAAGAGACAATAAAATTCATAGGAAATTCACTGAAACCTTGATATCAATCGTAATATACTAATCTCTATCAAGATGGGTACTGGAAGAATCACGCGTGATTTCTTCGAATGTACTGACATTGTGGATTTCCGACCATACAATCGAAATCCTAGTCGGACTAGAGGGTTGCGGAAGTATTATGTCCGCAGGTGTTGCGATTGGCATGCGGAGACTCAAACTCTAATTTCCCCAAATATGGCCCAAGATCTTAAGATTCACAGTAATGAGGGGTATCCATTCTTTTACATTCAGATTATTTGACCCATTCTTCCAGAAGTTGTGGCGAAGCGGCGGATTACAGCGGATTTATGCACAGGAATTTGTCAATTTGGCAACAATAAGGGGTCGTACTATGTACTGGGTGTATGTAGAGTACTTGAGTAATTTGGGTAATTGGGGTAATTTTGAATGCTGTGCATTGGTTAGCGATAGAACGGATTTGGACCCTTGTTTTCACTTCACTTGCCTTCCAATCCACTTATCAGGAAAAAATTTTTACAGAGATTACTTTGAGACCTAGTGGCAGCTTTTTGCATGAACAATGAAATAATTACGTTCTATACAAAAAGAATACGAGTGTTTTACTATTTATCAAGAATGTCAGTATCACATGCACACTTACCATTAGTTTTGTTGCCTAGTTGCCAGCCGTAAGCGTTTAGGTTGACGTGTTTAGGAAAATCCAATTTTCATAATATATGTTCTCTGTTGGTTTATGAAAAAAAAACTGCTCAAGACGGGATGCTCAGCAAAATTCATCCTTTCAGACAGCCGTGATCGAGGCATTCGACTTCGCAATAAAATCAAACATTTCCGATGCTGACAAATTGCAGTTCAGTCAGAGGAAATTGGACTTCCTCGAAGATCTCTCTTACGATATCGATGTGTAAGTTATTGTGATTGTCGCCTTAGCCATTCCATTCCGATGTATCGAGAGATGTTTCAGGTTACAAGAGCATCAAGACGCTCATGTTGCCTTATTGGCTGAGATGGAAAATCCACCAACCACAACACGAAAGCGAAGGTATAACGGCAGAGACGAGTCAAGATATTTCAAGTGAGTGTGAAGTATTAAAAATTCGGAAAAGATTTGAAAATATTCCGAATTTCCAGTGACAGAGATCGCGATGTGCCTTCTCGAAGAAGCCGATATTCGGATCATCGCGATTCCTACCGTGACAGTCACCGCGGAATGCGCGACGGTACCGGGTACTATGTGTCATCAAGCGGTAAGAAGCGTATAGTTTTCCTGTTTACTATCTACAATGCCACCACTTCACATACATTCCACATTTGTAGGGAACCGTTCATAACAAGCCCTGGAGAGACAGTTTCGATTACTTGAAGAATGTGGTAATAATAGTCTTGCTTAAAAACCTCGGGTTTCTTGAGAGATGAATGGAAAGCGATTAAATGCTTCGGAGACTCAGACTAAGAACCTCAAAAGGGAGCCCCGAAATGCGTGTGACACCAGTTTTGCAATAAACTTGTTGATTTTTTTTTTCGGAATTTCCAGTAAGGTGTGAAAGGAGAAAGCCGATTCCGCTCATCTCTCGGCTAGTTCGTGCTATCATGCTTTTTTTCGGATTTATAAGCGGGCTCACTTCGGCGTTCGGCCTTGGTCGATGTAGGATATTCTTTTCCTAACCATGGTTCACCCAAAGTACTGCAGCAGAATTGTGAAGTCTGTCTGTGTGTCTATCTATACTCCATATCTCGAAGTCAGATTAGGGCGTGTCTCTCTGTTTGACGTGGCGACCGCCGCACTTGTTGGAAGTTGCGCGGATAAGCTGCTCCATGCTTTGCTGATATCCAATGGATTACGTTAGAAACAGCCCATCCACACGGCTTCTATCAAGTGCGACAAGGGCTACGTCAAATCCATAGCCACGCCTGATCTGACTTCGAGATATCAACTGTAGCTTCCTGGGGGAGAATTTGATATTACCCTCGAAGTCGAGTCAATGAGATCGGGGATGGAACAAGAACTAGTAATTGCGTTAACCAAACAGTGCTCCATCCACGGTGGGAGGAGTGTGCGTGTACGAAATGGGCGTTGCCAAGAACAAAGCATCGTTCGTAAAAAGAGGATCAGCTGGTGTGATGGATGAGAAATAAAATTGGGGTACGCACTTTCATCTGAATGTGTTTGCCTATCGTTTCCAGAACAAATGAGGACAATGACATGAACAATGAGACCGGGAAAACTCGAGATTAGCAAATAGGGCGTGATTCTGACTCTTGATTCAGTTCCGCTCAACGCGAGCCAGATGCCTATTACGGTGACGGAGCCTTACCAGGAAGGTCTTTCAGGGCGTGACGAGCTTTTTGAAAACGGTCTTTTGCATGATATAGGGGCAGATGCGGGAACCACAGAACCATGTTCAATTTTTCCTGAACGGCCCTCTGAATACCAGAAAAGGGGGTCCCTAGTTCGATTCCTCTTGGTGACAAATTTTGCATTTCGAGTTGACGTTCCAAAATTCGCGCAAAATGGAGTTCTGATTGTTCTGGTTGGTTCTAACTCCATTTTGCGCGAATTTTGGCACGTCAACTCGAAATGCAAAAATTTGTTACCACGAGGAATCGAACTAGGGACCTCCTTTTCTGGTATTCAGAGGGCCGTTCAGGAAAAATTAAACATGGTTCTGTGGTTCCCGCATCTGCCCCTATATCATGCAAAAGACCGTTTTCAAAAAGCTTGTCACGCCCTGAAAGACCTTCCTGGTTAGTCCCAGCATCGAAGATAAGCCCGTAGACCGGGAAGAAGTGGGTAGAGTTAGCCCAGGAGGTATCAAACTTTCACTTCAACGGATGAACTTTCATAGGTGGAGTTGGCAGCGAGGTGTGTTGGGCTAATATAGGGTGCTCATGATTCATTTCCACAGTGCTCACGCTATCCGATTTCCGTTATTATGCCTATCTTTCAGGTCTACGCTAAAATTACACAGTCGCATTCTGAGTACCTGATCTTCAGTTTATGTAGCTCATATTTCCTCCGAATATCCTTTTCCCCCTTCTTTTGCTTTCTCTTTTTTTTGGCAAGCTGTGCGTTCCCGCTGGGAAAATTTTCCGCTTCTTGGGGTTCTGCAGGCTAGCTGCTTTCTCATTTTGGGTTCTCTGCCATTGTCTTCTTGACGCTCTTCCTTCAATCTGGGACTACTTCGTATGAAGAACACAAAATAAAGTCTTCAATGGGGATGCCTAAACAAATGAATGGAAAAAAACTTATTCATTTGCATATAAAAACTGTTGTCTCACTTGCCCTCATGCAATCAACTACAATGTTAAAAAATCAATGGTGGTCCAGTACCGCTAGCGTTTCTATGATGGGTGTATTTGATGGTGCTTGTTCATGAATTGTAAGGGTTCTTTCATCTTTTTTATTTTGTTTTGTGAGAAAGCAGCTTTCATTTTCTCTCCTATTCTTTTGCTTAGCAGAAAGTTCGTGCATGCAACCCCGGCATTTCGTCGTTAACTACCGGTCTTTTAACATTCTGCATTTTCAGCGTATCCAGTGCAGCAGATGTACTATGGTAATCAAGGCTATTAGCAGTTGTTAATGGATGGAATGGCCTTTGTTGAAAGTGATTTAGTCAAACGAGATATATGTTATTTTTTGTTCGTTAAGAGTTTTAATTAGTCTCTGGATTTTCTATTTTCTCTCATTCATCGGTATTAAGGTAGTTTGTTGTAAAGTTTTTTCTACTTGCACATATGATGGTGATCCTCGGAGGCAAATTCTGTGATGACATTTAAAAAAAGCAGTTTTCTCTGCGAATTGTTTGACTTCGCGGTCAACCTGTTTTCGCTTTAAGGCTGGCAACGCTTCCATAGTCGAGAAAAGAAGGTTCAAGATGGCTGGCAGTGACAGTCTATTATAAGTCTCAGCTCACATAATAAACTGCCACTGCTTGTGATGAAATAAGATGAGATGTGGCAAAACTCAGATCTCAACGGTAAAATGCGAGTTTCATTTCGGAGCGCCCACTTCATCTAAGAATTTGCCTCAAACATTGAGTTAGCGATACTTCCGTTCCCTGTGTTGTAAACGTGCGAGATATCTGATTGGTTTTGTCATTCGGATATTCATTATTCGCACACGAAATTGCACAAAGACGGGACGTCTTTCTGTGTTCAGTCGACAATTGTTCCTGGTCGCATCAAAGCTCTGCCGAAGCTCGTCATGAATTGTTTAGTTGAGTGAAGTACGAGATTTTGAGTAAAACAATGATAGCTCGTAAAACCATTCATTAATCGTAAGGTGGGAAATTAGAGATATCTAGCATTAGTTTCTATCTAGTTGGTTTCCTGTTGCTGTTGGAAATATCCTTTACAGAATATTTTTCACCTCTTTTGTCCTGGTTGCCGATCATTATGACTGACGAGAAGACTTTTTTCTATTCGTTGCTGTTATCTTACTGTTACCATTTGGGTATTACATATGTTCCTTTTGTTTGCTTTCAATCTGCATCTGTCCTGCACCATTTATGTTACGATATATGCACATAAACGAATTATTCTGGGAATAAATACTTTTTTAACGCTTTGGAATCGAAATGTTCTCCATTGTCTACTGAATATGTGTGAATCGAGCTATCTGTCACTTTCAGGGTACACGTGTTCCAAAT